CAGGTCCTCACCTTCCCCTAGGCCCCCAGCAGCCCGCGAGGTCCCTATTTCCCCCTAGGCCCCCAGCAGCCCCTCCAGGTCCCCATTACTCCCCAGGACCCCACCTCTGGCCCTTCTGCCCCTTTCTCAGCCCTGTCCACATCCCGCCACCTTCCCCAACACCCGGGACACCGGGAAGAGAAGGGGAATCATCACCTTGGCAACGGCGGAGGCGGGCAGGACTGCGCTGGGGGTGGGCCGGAAGGGCTTGGGGCACAGGCATAACCACAGGCTAGCGACGCTGCTTACCTGAGGCGCCTGGGGAAGCGTGAAGACGGCAAGACCCGGGGCCGACGCCGTCTGAGAATCCCGGCCTCTCGGTCCGAGACAATCTGAGGCGCTCCGAGCCGCTAAGGCGTCTGCGCCGGCGAGGCCGTAGCGCACTGTGCGCATGTGCAGGGCCGGCGCGCGACGTTTGGGGTTGGACAGCAACGCCGCGCCCTCGGGTTCTTGGTTCCGCTCGGCGGCGCGGGCTGACCTGAGTTTGCGTGTTTCTGTGCCCCGCCGTCTCCGTTCCTGCCGGCACCGCGGCCTTGCTCACAGCTGTTGCGCCGAAAGAGAGGCTTTTAACAGGTGTTTATTGTTCACCTCCTGGTGTAAAGACTAAGCAATTGGGAGGCCAAAGCCTGGTTTCGAGCCCCCGCCCGTTGTCGGGCTCGGTTTCGCCGCCTGGGTCCTCCAGTAGCCTTGCGGGGCGGCTAGCGGCGCCCCCATTTACGGACGCGGAGGCCGGGGCGCGGGGATGGACCGGGAGACGCGCGTGCTCGCGGAGAAGCACTTCCAGGGTCTCCGGGGGCGTCTCCCGGGCGGGGTCCGCCGGGCCCCAGACTGCGTGGACTTCATCGAGAGGCCGGACGCCTTTTCCTACGCCGACTTCTTTAAGGGCTACCTGCTCCCCAACGTGCCCTGTGTTTTCTCCAGCGCCTTCACGGAGGGCTGGGGCAGCAGGAAGCACTGGGTGACCCCCGACGGGAAGCCCAACTTGGATTATCTGCTTCAGAACTACGGTGAGGACTGAACGGAAGGGCGACCCGCCCCGGGAACGCCGAGTTCCAGAACCGACTAGAGTCGGTGCCCAAATTCCCTGAGGCCAGGGTCGGATTGTAGAGGCCTCCAATGAGGGGAGCCCTGGGGGGTCTGGGGAGAGGCAAGGCAGAAGTGGTTCCTCTAGAGAAGTCATCTGGTGAGGTGTTGGCAATGAATTGGAGGGCCAGTGGCTGGAGACAGGTAGCCTGGGGAGAGGTCAGAACAGGGTCAGCGAGGATGGGCAGCGTGGAGGATGCTCAGAAAAGGCCGCAGTGTGCAGGGCACAAGCTTTGCTGTCCCTCTTGTTTCAGGAGACATAGTTGTACCTGTTGCAAACTGTGGAGTACAGGAATACAACTCCAACCCCAAGGAGCACATGCCCCTCAGAGACTACATCAGCTACTGGAAAGCATACATCCAGGAGAATGATTCCTCCCCGAAGGGCTGTCTTTACCTCAAAGACTGGCATCTGTGCAGGTAAAAAGGCCCTGAGTACGGACTGTGGCAGGGCCTGCTTTTCCTAGACCTGAATGAACCCTGAGGCCTTTCTGCCTTAGGAGCCATCAGCTGCACCTAGAGGACTCTTCTTTTTCCCCACTTAGGGATTTTAGTGGGTGCGAAAGAAAGCAGCTCTTCAGCGTGGTAAGAGGTGTCATTTGTCAGCACATGGCCCTGCTCTTCTGTCCTGTTTGCCCAGAGTCAGCTTTGAGGGCTTTCCCCCACCCTCCCCATCTAACTGGCGGGGTGAAGCCTGAGCCACCTGCCTTTCAGATGCCCTAAAACTGTTCTCTCCTTTCCCCCCTTCTCTTTCAGTTCAGGCCCTGTCCTTTCATGCCATGGTTGCCACGGGGGCCTCCAGACTGAGCTCCCTGCACCAAATCCTGCCCCTCACTTGCTCGGCCCTTGAAAGGTGGACAGAATGATCTTTCCAGCGGGATCGTGCCCCACTGCATGTTTAAAATCCCATCACTGTCAAGACCAGCGTGAACTCTTTAATGTAGCATTCAGCACCTTTCGCCGCCTGTCCCCACCTACCACATACTTCATCCCTGGGGAGCTCAAATGGAGCCCACTCTGAGAAACACAACTCACTTTCATGGGCAGGGTGGTCTCCCGCGGCACCAGCCCAACGCCAGCCCTGCATTCCACTCACCGGTGTAGTCCTTGGGTAATGGGTCTGTTTCCCCACCCAGAGCTGTGCTTTTCATGAGCAAAGACCATCGTGGTCAGACACCCACCGCTTGGCACCGGGCTTGGCACGTAGTAGGTGCTCAGTTAATGTTGAGTGAATGAGTGAACAACTGAGTTCCTATTTTACTGATGTGAAAACTAAGACTCAAAGAGATCAAATAAGCATAGAACCCAGGCCCCTGTGGTTGTGATTCCCAGGACCAACCCGATAGCGCGTGAAAAGTAGCCATCACCTATCACCCAACAGCCTCATCTCGTAGCATGCCCCATGGTGTTCTGTGCCACACCATTTCTTGTTTGGCACAAAGAGTTTGCCCCGTTAGACTGTGGCTAAGTTACAGTCAGGCACTGGCCCAGCTCTCAGGGAACTCATATTCCAGTAACAGAGACGGACACAGATCCAAACGCTGTCACGCACTGTCGGTCTGGGTTTCAGATGAACGATAAGTGTTTTTTTGGAATTTTTTAAAACAGTTGCCATTGAGTCGATTCCGACTTACAGCAAACTGATGTGTTTTAGCGTAGAAGTGTGCTCCGTAGGGTTTTCAATAGCTGTGAACTTTTGGAAGTAAATCACCAGGACTTACTTCTGAGATGCCTCTGGGTGAATTTGAAATGTCAGCCTTTCAGGTACTAGCCGAGGGCTTAACCTTTTATGCCACCTAGGGACTCCGTTAGGTTAAGTATGTCATGGGACATACTTATACTAGAAAATTGTTCATTGTTTATTTGAAATTCAGTTTTGATTGGGTGTCCTGTATTTTATCCGGCAACTCTAAAAAAATAAAAAGGGCAGAGGAAGGCCTGCGATCAGGCAGTCAGGAGAGGCCACAAGGGAGGGAATGTCTGAGCAGGGTTTTTAAGGTAAATAGGAGTTCGCCAGGTGCGCAAAGCTGTGCCAGGCAGGAGGACCAGCATGTGTTTTGGGGAGCTTTGAATGGTTTGATGCCACTGGGGCCTTCCTTCTCATTGCCCCTGGCCACGATGTGTGCGTGAGCTAATCCAGAAACTTTTCAGCATGGCATTTGCAGAGCTGTGCTTTGGTTCTCCAGAGACTCCCGCAGGCTGCTTTAGGCGTGTTTGGATGCCCATTTGTTGGGTTCTGGGACGGACCAGGAGGAAAGGGAAGGAAGGAATGGCTGGGGGTCAGCCTGGAACAAAAAAGTGCCTCTGAGGACTGGACCATCCTCATAGCTGGCCCTGTGGCCTCGCATCAGTAAGGGAGAGCGGAGTTCACTGGTGTTAGTGAAAAAGCGAAGGGGGCCCCCGGAGCCAAGAGAGCGAGTATAATGCACACGATGCATCGGGAAGCCCCTGGGTCAACAGAAGCTGACATCCCAGAACTGGAACGGGGTCTCAAGTGCCTGGTTCTCCACCTGCATCCGCTCTCTATCGCCGTGTGATACATGACCCCAACCAGTTTTATTTACGCACAACTCTGTGCTTCAACAATTTAAACAGGGCTCCGCTAAGCCATTCTTCCGCGGGTCCGCCCTGGGTGTCTCGGGGACTGTCGTCAGCTGGTGGCTGGACTAGGGCTGGGTGGTCTAAGATGGCCCTGCTCACATGCCTGGCAGTTGGCACTGGCTGTGGGCAGCCACGTGTCTCCAGTCGGTAGCTCAGGGTCACTCACCTGGCAGCGGAGAGAGCAGTGTGCGTCTCTTTCCAAAATGCTGTTTGTATCTCATCTGCCAGTGCCCCATTGACTAGAACCGGACAGCGGCCAAGCCCAGCGTCAGTGTGGGGAACTGCAGGGAGGTGGGGTTCAGGGGCCGTTCCGGCCACAGCCCTTGTGTGGTTCTCTCCAAAGGGACACCTCGGCAGAGGATGTGTACTCCCTGCCAGTGTACTTCTCCTCAGACTGGCTGAACGAGTACTGGGACGCCATCAATGTGGACGACTACCGCTTCATCTACATGGGGCCCGCGGGCACCTGGTAAGGCTGGGCGCCTGCCAGCTGCCCCAGGGCTGCAGGGTTGGCCTTCTCTCCTTCCCTCCTGACTGCCCCAGGTCCCTCTGCCAGAACCTTCCCCACTGGTGTTTCAGCCGTTGCTCAGAACCTCTTGGAGATTCCCGTTAGCTAGGCCATAAAGTTGGGCTGTAAGGGTGGCATCCAAGCCCTTCCTGTTGGACCAGCCCGTTCTCCCTGCCTCCGCTCCGAGCACATGCAGCTTCTGCAGTCATTCTGGGGGTCAAGTGTGGGAGGTGTGGCCCACCTACCTGGCTTGCAGGCCAGGTTCTCAGGAGAAGAGAAGCTTAGCACAGATGTGAGAGCTGAGGGGGAGGGCTTGTCATATATGAGTAAGGGAGGCCTTTAGGATGGTACACTCAGTAAACCAGAGACAGTCTCGTCCAGAAGAAGCAAACACCATACCGAAGCCAACCGGCACGAACCAGGAGCTCTCGCCACAGGTCACCATTCCACGCCGACATCTTCCGCTCCTTCAGCTGGTCCGTCAACGTCTGCGGCAGGAAGAAGTGGATCTTGTTTCCGCCCGGGCAGGAAGAAGCCCTGCGGGATTGCCACGGCAGCCTGCCCTATGATGTGACCTCGCCTGCGCTCCTTGACGTCCGCCTGCACCCGGCGCGTGCGCACTGCAGCCCGCCTCTGGAGGTCACGCAGGAGGCAGGCGAGATGTTGTTCGTGCCCAGCGGATGGCACCACCAGGTCCACAACCTGGTAAGGCGGGCGCTTACTGCCCCACGCGCCCTGGGATTTGGCCCCGCAGAGATCAGGAAGACACGCCTGTGGCCAACCAGCCCCAGAGGTCTGGCTGGGCTCAGAGGCAGGTGCCTGGATCTCCCCACAGGGCCCTGGGAGCTTTCCGTCTACCGTTCACCTGCGTGTCTCCCTCTGCTCCACACCTCGCCCACAGGCCCCCTTTGTCCTTCAGCACCTGTCCTGGGTGCCTGCCTGGTACCTGCAGCAGGGCAGTGCCCACCCCGCCCCCAGTCCCACAGTGGGCAGGCCATCTTGCTGGGAGAGCCCATAGCTGGCTGGCCCTCGTGTGTGGGGCCATTAGGTTCATTCACACGGCATTGCTGAGGGCCTTCCGGCCACTCTGTGTTCCTCTCCCACATTCCTTCCCTGGGCCACTGGTGGGCATTGCCCCAGGTGTGTGCTGGCTCCCTGTACCTCCAAAGGCTGGGCCAGCGCTCAGGCCCTTGGGAATCTTCCAGCGCCATGCTGGATCAGCTGTGGACTAGATGACCCCCGTCCCAGCTCCCTCTGCTCTCCTTAAACAAGCACAGATAGTCTGCTGGCGGCTTTGTAGGAGAGGGAGTCACCTGGCTGACAAGGGCTGGGCCTCCACGGTTGTGTTCCAGACCTTACACCACTCACGGCAAGGGGCCTGGCCTGCGAGGCCTGGTTGGTGCTCGTGTACTGTGGGGAGAGGTAGTTTGTAAAGGCAGTGCCTGCTGTGGGCTCACGGCACAGGGCCTGGCCCCGCGAGGCCTGGTTGGTGCTTGTGGACTGTGGGGAGAGGGAGCTTGTAAAGGCAGTGCCTGCTGTGGGCTCACAGGAGCCACCTGTGCCCTGCCCCTTCTAGGAGGACACCATCTCCATCAACCACAACTGGGTCAACGGCTGTAACCTGGCCCCCATGTGGCACTTCCTGCAGCAAGAGCTCCGCGCCGTGCAGCGGGAGATCAGCGAGTGGAGAGATGCCATGCCTGACTGGTACCACCACTGCCAGGTGTGGCCAGGCCCGGGGGTGGGGTGCATCTTTCCTCCTCCAGAAGTTCTGGCCAGGCTCTGGTTCCCTGCAGTCCTGAGTACAGACTCTAGCCCGGGAGTCAGGGCCCTTCACAGCACGACTCTCCTGTGTCAGCTTGCGTCCCTGCCCTGGTGTCCCTCCTGCTGTGGACTAAGCACTTGTCCAGGCTAAGGCAGTGAGACCAGACCAGCAGTGCGCCCCACGAGAACCATGACGGGGGATGTGGGCATGAGGGGGCTCGTCAGGGCCAGGGCTGTGTATGGGAGGGAAGGTGGAGGTGTGCGACACTTCACAGGGCCAAGGCAACCGTGTCCTTGAGGTGGTTTCCAGGCTACAGGAGTTAGATACGTTTGATCATTGTGAGGCCGCTGAGCCACCTAGGTGTCTCTCTGTTTTGTCCCCAAATCTTTGTCCTTGTGGGCAGGGCCCATGTTTTGGCGTCCCTTGCAGCTTGGACCGTTTCCCACGGTCGTCAGTTGTAACAACTTGGTAACAAGCAGTGCCTCACTCGGCCTCTCTCCTCTCTGGCCCAGGTGATCATGAAGTCCTGTACAGGAATCAATTATGAAGAGTTTTACCACTTCCTCAAGGTCATCGCTGAAAAGAGGCTCCTCACCCTGGCCAATGGGACAGGCACTGGGACAGCGGGGAGTGTTGACGACACCAGGCTGGGTGCTCAGCAGGCTGCTTTCGATGTCAGTCGGATCACTGAGGTGCTGGCGTCCTTGATCGCCAATCCAGACTTCCAGAGAGTGGACACCAGCACCTTCTCGCTGCAGCCGGAGGAGCTCCTGCAGCAGCTGGAGGAGGCCGTCACTGCCACTGCATCCCTGTAATGCTCATCAGGGAAGGCTGGCGATGCGGACACAGGCGGACGTGTAGGGACTCAGCCCCACTGTCCACCAGGGCACTGACATAGCAGATGGTCACCTGGTTCCAGGTGTCCCCTCTGTAAATAAAGTACCGCCTTCAGCTATATAAGCTTGAGCCCACCCCCTCATCCTGAGCCTCAATTGCTTCAGTGTCTAACGGAGCAACTGCTGCTCTTTAAGGGTTTGAGACTGTCCTGGCTGTCCACTGGCATCGCCCTGGGCCCTTTCAAAGAACAGCAGCCCTTGAGGTCCTGTCTGGGGATTCCAATTGAGTTGTTTCTTGGGTGAGTCCCAGCCAGGACTGAGAACTCCTTCTCCAGTGAGAGGGTGGGTGGGAGGGGTATTGGTAGCTCTGAGTGTAGGGAGGAATCGTGGTTCCTGAAGGAGGCCAGGTAGTAGATTGGGAACTTGGGAGTGGGGCTGTGGCATTGCACAGGTTCAGGGCTGCCTTTGGGAAAGGAGCACAGGCCTGAGGATTTCTTTCCCAGCTGTGAAGCCCCCACCTCACAGGTCCTCACTAACCAAGAACAGCTGCTGTAGAGAGGATTCCAGTACTGGAAATGGACTCAATCTGGACATGGGCGCTGATTCACCAGCAGAGTCCAGAGAGCCACCAGTCTGGCTCAGTGCCACACGGTTAATGTTAGCCCCGTGGTGAGAACAACCCAAATGTCCGTCGATAGATGAGTGAGTAAACAAAATGTAGTACAGCCGTGTAATAGGATAACGATCAGCCATAAAAAAGCAGTTAGATACTGACATGTCTGCACATTGGATTGTACCTCAGAAACATTAAGCTGCGTGAAAGAAACTAGACTCAAAGGCCACAGACGGTATAATCCCATTTAGGTAAACGAACCAGAGTAGGTAAATCCATAGAGACAGCCCATTACAGGTTGCCAGGGGCTAGCTTGTAGGGCATTGTCTTAGTTATCTAGTCCTGCTGTAACAGAAATACCACAAATGGATGGCTTTAGCAAACAAATTTCTTCTCTCACAGTCAAGGAGGCTAGAAGTCGACATTCAGGGCGCCAGCTTCAGGGGAAGACTGTCAGCTCTGGGGAAAGTGCTTGTCATCAATCTTCCCCTTGTCTAGGAGCTTCTCAGCACAGGGACCCTGAGTCCAAAGGACGTGCTCTGCTCCTGGTTCTTCGGTGCTAATGAGGTCCCTCTCCTCTCGGCTCACTTCTTTCTTTTATACCTTAAAAGAGATTGACTCAAAATACAACCCAATCCTGGAGATGATGTCGTGCCTCATTAACATAACTGCCTCTGATCCTGCCCCATTAACATCATAGAGGTTAGGATTTGCAGCACAGGAAAATTGGATCACACAATGCAGGACAACTACACAACCCTGGGAATCATGGCCTAGCTAAGCTGACACACATCTTGGAGGACACAATTCAGTCCGTAACTGGGGTGATGGGGAGTGACTGCTTACTGGATATGGAGTTTCTATTTGGGGTGAAAAAAATGTTCTGGAACTAGATAATGGTGATGGTTGAACAGCATTGTCAGGGTACACAAAGCCACTAAGTTACACACTTTAAAATGGGAGAATTTGTTTTATGTGAGTTGTAAAGCTTAAACCATAAAATAGATGAAAAACAAGAAAATACTACCCCAAAAAAACCAACCAGAGCGAAGAGACTCAGGTGAGGGGCAGAAAAGCTCCAGTGCTGGAGCCCGTGCTGGCTGTGCCTAGGACCTGGTGCTGGAGGAGGTGCTGCAGCCGGCTCCGCCTCTGGGTCTGGTCCGAGAGTGGGGCACTAGCTGTGGAGCCGGTACCAGAGCCATACCTGGGGGTGGAGCTGGCTCCGCCTCTGGGTCTGGTCCGAGAGTGGGGCAGTAGCTGTGGAGCCGGTACCAGAGCCATACCTGAGGGTGGAGCTGGCTCCGCCTCTGCTGCTGGTACCGGGCCAGTGATGGAGTTGGCTCTGCCCCTGTAGCTCGTGCTGCATTTAGCTCTGGGGTTGGTTCAGGAGCTGGCTCTACCTCAGGAGGGGTGTTAGAACTACTTCTGGAGATGTTTCTAGCTCTTCGGGTGGCTGTAGTTCAGGTGCTAATACTCGAGATGATGCCAGAGTGGTCAATGTGATGCTAGAGCTGATTCTGGAGCTGGATATGAAACCGACTTGCAGGTCTGGAGATGGTGCCAGAGCAGGCTCGACCTCTGAAAAATTGTGCTGGAGCCGATGATGGTTCTGTCTTTACAGCTTGTGCTGGAGATGGGGCTGCAGCTGGTTCCTGCTTGGAACATGACATAAACGTTAGCTGTGGGGCTGCTGCCGGGACTGACTCCAACTCTGGAGTCAGTGCTAGACTTGACTACCTCTAGAGTTGGTACTAAGCCTGGCAGTGGAGTTGGCTTTAGTTCAGTAGCTGATGCTGGCTGTAATCATGAACTAGAGGTGAAACTCTAGTTCTGGAGCTGGTGCAAGAACTCGTGTTGGAGTTAGCACTAGCTTAATAGCCGGCCCTAGCTGTAGCTCAACAGCCAGCCCTAGCTCTAGCTTTGGATGGAGCTAGTGCAAGTGCCGTTGCTGGAGTTGGCTCTCTCTAGCTTCCATTGTCACTAGCACTGATGTTGGTACAGGAGCTAGCTCTAGCTCCAGATGGGTTGCCAGAGCTAGTGCTGAAATTGGCTTCGTCTCTGGAGCTAGCTCTAGCTCTGGAGCTTGTGCTGCTGCTGGCACTGGACTGGGCACTAGCTATTGAGCCAGCCTTAGAGCTGGTTTTGGCTCTGATGCTAGAGATACAAGAGGAGAAAAGTTCACCAGCATGACTGCCTTTTCTGAGGTTTACGGTCATGGTTTCACGGGACATTCCAGTCAACTGGCCCAGTATTTTTAGTGTGTCTGCTCTACCTCCTAGTTCATTGTGTAGTGCCTGGGGTCTTGAAAGACTGCAAGAGGCCATCCAGTTGGTCTCTATCCCCCTGGAATAGCAGAGGAAGTAGGAGAGTCAAGGATTGGAGGAGGAAGTGAGCTGCATGTCTAATGACTTCCATGAACAACTTCCTTTGCCATGAGACCAGAACTGGATGGTGCCTGGCTACCGTATCTGAACATTGTGATCAAAGAATCTATAGAAGAATCCTGATCAAAAGGGGGGGGGGGGGAAGAAGGGAATGTGGAACAGAATTTCAGACTCATGGGATCAAGACTTTTTGGAGCTACTGAGGCTGGATGAACTCCTTGAAACTATTGCCCTGAAGCAATTTGTAAACCTTAAAACTATCCCCATAAGACATCTTTGAGCCAAACAGTAATTTAGCTTAATTAGTAAAGAATGTTTATCTTGAACATTGTACTCTAAAGAATTATCTATATGTGATCACATAGACAACAGCAGCTCCAGTGGTTAGATGAGAAGCTTAGGGGGCAGCGAGTCTATCTTATGGTGGAATAATTTGGAAAAAGGATAGCAAGAATGGTTGCACATCTTGAAGAATGTAATCAGTATTGCTGAATTGTAAATGTAGAAAGTATTGCATTGGTGTATGTTTTGCTGTGTATATTTTCACCACAAAAATAAATAAAATGTAAAAAAAAATTTAAAAAGAGAAGCTCAAGCCCATGGACACTAAAAGCTTTCCCAGTCTGCAGTCCACCAGATGGGTAGTCCGAGGTTCCTCTGAGTTCTGGGCCAACACCAGCCTCTGGAGCTCCTCCCTGTGTGGTTCTGCCCTGCCCTTCCTCGTATGCAAGCATGCACCCACACCCAGTCCTCCCTACCCTCTAGCTCAGCTTCATTTGGCTCCGGGTGCTCCCACTGGGCAAAGAGAAGGTGGCCACAGTACTCCAAGTTCAAGTCAGGCATGCTGAGCTCTGCGTAGGCCACCAGCACCTTGAGGCAGAGAAAGTTGGGACAGAAATCCTGTGGGTACCCATCCAGGCAATGCTCAGGATGAAAGGAGGTGGCACTGGGGGTAGGCCGGTGAACAGCGGGGTCCCACAGCCCTCCTTCAGGGGGCTGGGCCCCGGTGCCTGACCCTGCGCTTCCAGAGGCCAGCCCCACACCACTCCCCGAGGCCACACTGACTGTCCTGGCAGTGGCTCTCCTGGTCGAGCAGGGGGCTAGCAAAGAACCTTGATCCCAGGAAGCTCTCGATCAATGGTCTGACCAACTCCCTTTCCTCAGGGAACCCTGGCATACTTCTCCGTCTGTCACCTCTGGTCCCTCCCCACTGGAAATTAAGCTCCGTGAGGGAGAGATTGTGTCTGTGCGTTCACGGCGTGGTGCTGGCACACAGTTGGTGCTCTGTGAATATCTGTGGATGAGGATACAAATGGAGTCTGGCCTGGCCCAGACTTCCCAGGGCCCTTGTGACTCCTCAACCTGCGGCTTGTGCGCCAGTGAACTGCCTTATTTTCTGCATGCGTGTGTGGGTCTTTTCTTCCCCCTGACACTGTTATCCCAGAGGGCAGGGCTGAGCACACACCTCTGAGGTTCAGTAGACTGAGGAGCAAGTTGCTCCCTACACCTCCTGTTCTGGGACCCCAGATTGGGGAGGGGTACAAGCAGAGCTGGGAAGGGACTATGGTGGGGATGGATTCTCTCAGAGTCCACTCTGAGCCCCCAGCCACCTCTCTGCTCCCTACAACATCCAGGGTTCTGTCCACAGCCCTCTGACTGCTTTCCTCCTGCAGGGGGAGCTTCCCAGAATTCATTCCTCTAGAGGGAATCCTAAGATGCATGGAACTCTGGATTCTGCCCCGCTGCTCCCCAGCCACAGCTTCCTCACAAACACACACTCTTAAATGGAATCAAGAGCCCCTTCCTCTTGACCCAAAGTTCACTCTTTCAGTTGATGGTGGGGTCTGCTGTCCCTTTGGAGGATGCTTCCGTATTTAGAGGAGGTCATGAGGGCATCCCATCGAATGTACCGCGTACGCTACCTGTCAATAATGTTTGGTGATACAGTTTAACTCCCTGAATAGAATGGAAACCCAAGAGGGCAGGGATTCTCGTCTGTCTTGTTCATCGAATGATGCTAAGTGCCTAGAAAAGTGTCTGCACGGAGTAGATATATATGT